GACGTCGAACCGAAACACGTTGAAGTGGAAATAACCACGAGACTGCCGCTTGAGGGGGAGCCAAGGAATACCAATCAGCAGCCTCCTGCAACAAAAACTGTTGCGACTCCACCTATAGTTCAACCCGAAACTCCTGCCATACCTCCTCCGCGAACACCTTCACCCGAATCCAGGGATCCATTAGCAAATCTTCCATCACCTTTAATGCACCGAATCGAATACGCACCTCCCCGTTTGAACCCTATTCCTCTTCGCAGAACTGCGCGCGAAATTGAAGACCACAATTACCGCCGTTTACACAACCCGCAGTCACGCCTTCCCGCAGTACCACGCCAAGCCAATACCTCGAAAGATGAAGCTGAAGAGACTCATTATGTCTTGCAAGCCTCACAGTCAAATGTTGACGACGTACCTCGTAATCTTTCTGAAGCCAAAACATCCTCGGAATGGGATGGATGGGCCAAGGCTATGGACATCGAATATCAAACACTGCAATCAATGGGAACATGGAAACTCGAAGACTTACCCGAGGGACGAAAGATCGTAGGATCCCGATGGACTTTTGACAAGAAATACGACAATCTGGGAAATGTCATCAAATTGAAGGCACGTCTCGTTGCTCAGGGATACTCACAAATACCTGGCATGGACTATGTCGAAACCTTCTCCCCAGTCGTTCGTCTTGACTCACTTCGCGCTATCCTGGCTATTGGAGCCATCAGAGATATGGAAATCCAACAACTTGACATCAAGGGTGCTTACCTGAATGGAGACCTCAAAGAAGAAATTTATATGCGTCAGCCAGACGGCTATGACGACGGAAGTGGACGCGTTTGTCGCCTCTACAAGACGCTGTACGGTCTCAAGCAATCCGGCCGCGAATGGAATCGCAAATTGAATGCGACTCTGGCCGAATTTGGTTTCAAACACACGGAAGCCGATCATTGTGTTTATACACGCACCATCGAAGGCAAAACTGCCTATATCACCGTTTGGGTCGATGATTTACTAATCCTGACTGAGGATACCACTGAAATGGGTGAATTGAAGACTTCATTGCGCAAGAAATTCACCGTCACAGACCTTGGCGAGCCGAAACTTTTAATCGGACTTGAAATTGATCGTGACCGCGCCAATCGAACCATTTCCATCTCCCAAGCCAGCTACATCGACCGAATGCTTCGACAGTATGGGATGGACAAATCAAAGCCCGTCTCGACACCGATGGATCCGAATGTCGTGCTAACCAAGCGCGAATATGCCGCTGATCTCAAACCTGATGAACACTTGAATTTTGGATTCTCTGCCATTGTTGGATCACTGCTTTATCTTGCTGTAACTTCAAGGCCAGATATTGCATTCCCAGTTACCAGAGTGAGCCAGTATACGAGCAATCCAGGGAGTGCGCATTGGACAGCACTCAAGAGAATACTCCGGTATCTTAACGGAACCCGCCATCTGTCAATCACTTACGGCTACGGACCGGAAATACAATCGGAAATCACCGAAGAATTCAACGCTTTCGAATTCTTTGCTTTCACCGACGCCGATTTTGCCTCAAATCCAGACGATCGCAAATCTGTCTCTGGATACCTCTTCCTACTTGCTGGTGGTGCAATATCTTGGAACTCCAAGAAGCAAACTACTGTTGCACTTTCAAGTACAGAAGCTGAATACGCTGCTCTCGCACACGCAACCCGACAAGTTATTTGGCTTCGCAATCTCTTCTCAGAATTGGGACTTGAACAAGAACTTTCAAGTCAAATATTCTGTGACAACCAATCAGCAATAGCTATCTCTCAAGACCCGCAATTTCATGCTAAGTCCAAACACTTTGATGTTCTCAATCATTTTGTTCGAGAGAAAGTTGAACAAGGTATTGTCAATATCACCTATTGCCCTACGGATGAAATGGTTGCCGATATGTTAACGAAGGGACTTCCTAGAACTAAGCATGAGAAATTCTCTGCTGAAGCCGGGATGAATCCGACTTGAGGGGGAGTGTTGAACCGGAGCCGCTAAGGCTATACTCGGGCAACTCGGACATCCCTGTATGTTCTCAATAATTCTACTATGTTCTCTCCGACTCGTTCTGATTATTTACGACTCAGTTAGATAGTGACTCAGAATGTAATATGACTCGTATTCTACGTATTTATACAGCGCTGTAAACCCTATGCACTCAATCAATTTATCGTGAACCCAAATACTTTTGTGTCTCAGAGAACCATCTGCCGGTTCTCACCAACCATTAACTCGTCTAACCTCAACAGAACAAGACGAAGCTAAAAAAGGCTCTTTTGAGAAAAAGCTTGTATCAGACCCCCAGACGCCGTACGATGTGATCAGGGTCGACTTTGAGGCGCAGGAGCCCAGCAATATATTCTCGGGTCTCCCGAGGGATTTGCGTGAAGGGTAGATTCGCGTTACCCAGCGGATGGTCGTGCTCGTCAAGATAGTCGCCAAGAATAACCGATACCCCGGGATATTGTTTTACAAGGAGTCGGCACGCACAGTCTGTGCGCTTGTTGGGCATCTTGCGCTCGCGTTCGGGGAATTTCTTGGCATATGTCTTGATACCGCCAGTGCCGCCTCGAGAACAGACATAGCGCAGCTTTCTTGAAAATTCTGGCTCGCCCAGGTAGGTGTTGACAAGCGAAAGCTCAATCCCTTTTCTGCGCTGCTCCTCGCCCAACCATTGCTCAAAGCCAGCCCAATTCTCCCAGCGGAGATTAAATATTCCCAGAGCTACATCAGAGTCAAAAGAGCCCGCAGGTGGTGGTACAGGTGTAGGATCTTCGAAGGCACGAAAGACAGAGCAAAATGTCGACGAAGCAGCGGATGAAGCAGGAGGCGAGAAATGTTGTGTAGTACGGTCCAGGCGAAATGATGGCTTGAGTCCTTGCATTTCCCGCTAGGCGAGGTGTAGACGAGCCGGATGTCGCCCAGAACACAAAGCAGATTGTGGCGAGAAGCAGGATTTCTCAGTTCACACGATGCCACATTTTGCGTCTTGCTTGAAGCTCGCTACTGCTCAAGGACTCTTATCGAAAAGAAAGGCAACAAAATAGATGACATTCACATACTACGAGACAAAAAGAATACTACGCGAGAGAGGCAGAAGGAGTCCGATACAGATACAACAATCAGGTAGTGTTACGAGGCAAAGTAGGCATGAGGGCAAAAGGGAATGTAGGCGACGACTCCGGCGAAAACTTCCTACGTTTGCGGGGTGGTTCGCGCTCCTCAACAACGGTGACTTCATCGTCGTCGCTGTCAATGACAAGCACCTCCCGGGCCTTGCCCTTCCCCTTCAGATCAGGAACAGCGCGCATGGTTGGGGGGGAGACTGCCCGCGGAGAGACTGTTGGCGGCGATGGAGGTAGATGCTTGTGCTCATCAGTGCCACGGACACCCAGGCGGCGAACGAAGAGGTGGCCATCCGCGGGAATGGCGATGGAATAGGCTGTCGAGATCTTCATCCAGGAGTGGTACTGCGTTGAATAGCATTGATAGAAGGCGTCAAGGTCCGTGAATACGTCGGTGACCAGCATATGTGCGATGTTCTCCAAGCGCAGGTGCGACTTCCTGCAAATTTGGGGGTCTTGTGTTGATTCGATGGAGACAGGACCGTTTGTAGGCCAGAAGAAGAGTGTTATTGGACGAGACGAAGGGGCGGACGATGAGGCTGTGGTCGAAGAGGAGGCGAGTGTCGAAGAGGACAGGAAAGAGAACCCAGAGGATGACGAAGAGGAGGAGGAGGAGGAAGGAAGAGAGACGAGGGCCTTGTATACTGCGTCCTCAGAAGCGGTCGGTGAGGGCGGGAGGGGTGTCAGAATAGCTAGCGCATTGAGCTCTGCCTCACGCCGAGCACGAGCGACACTCTCTCGCTGCTGGGGTGATGGGAATATGTCGTTGCGGAGAGAGGATCCAAGTGTCCATGCATATGTTGGGTCGACGGGCGGCGACGACGGCGGGAGGGACTCGCGGTGACAAGGGCAGCCGCCGTCAAGCAGGCAATGGGTCTTACACATATGGCGAGAGCAAAAGCGGTTGATTCTGGTTTTGATACAGGACGGAGAGGCGCAGAACGCAGAACGCGGCCGTCGCGGCGGGGAGGGCGGGATGTTGTTCATGTTGTCGTGTGTCTCGCCAAGAGCAAAAAAGTGCCAGAACGCTGGATGAGCTCTATTGAAGCACTGGGAAGCGGTGGTAAGGATTATTGAAGAGCAGCGGGAAACAGCGAGCTCACATTTACATAGTCGAAGCCAGAGCGAGGTCCTTTTCGGCAAGTCATAACAGTGAGAGTGCGGCGACACGACTTGTGAGGGCAGCGGTAGCCGCGGGCTTCGACTTGACGGAGGCGGGAGAAGACGGGAGGCATCGCAGGGAGGAGATGGTGGTGGTAGAAGGCAAGGGGACGCGTTGTGTGACCTTGCTTGTCACCGCCTGCCAAGGGCCGCCGCCATCAGACCGGTCGCCGGGGGACCGAGAAAAGTTTCCCGATTGGGTTGCCACGTGGAGGCGGAATTGCAACAGTGGGCTGGAGGAGAGTGACGGGTGTGACCGGGTCATCTGTCACATTAGCGAAATGGAAGACGACGCGGTCACGTGTAAAGGTTCCGGTTTACTTCCTCATCGTTCCCCGCACTCAACGCGCTGCTGGGATATTATTGCATTCACCCATGAATTTCAAAGAAAAGGTAGTAGCAGTGGTGGGATCCATTCACCTAAAATGCGATGGGGCAATGAATTATCGGGTTGAACGGGAACTGCACGTTGTTCTACCCTCCAGTAAAGAATAGGAGTCATGATGTCACAGGCCCTTCCGAGACTCAAGCTCAGGAGCTTTCCTAGGCGGTCACATCATTAATACTCGCATCAACATTACCTTGGACCTCTCAAAAGCTCGAAAATCTCGAATTTTGACCAAGTCCGAATTTCGCGTGGACTTAGTACTTTTTGTACCATATATTAATAGTAGCTGCCTACCCAATAACTCCGGATTGGTGTAGGGGTTAACATTGCCGCCTCTCATTTGTGGCGGTGCAAACGGCACGTGATAAATCGCGGCAGCCCGGGGTTCGATTCCCCGATCCGGAATCTTTTTCGCGTTATGACCATTTTACATAAATTGTCTTTTTTTTGGTGTTCTTACATTGCAAGGTGGGCCGGTGGCGTACGATTATTAAGATTGGCCTTTGTATCCATGAATGTACGCGTCTCGAGATACAATACAAACACTTCAGAATACTTCTTGAAGTCTTCACTGAAATCAACGACAGACACCGCACGGTGTTCCTTTTGAGATGGAGCTGCTTTCTTGGCCGGTCTACTCGTCGAATAGGAATCGGTTATTCTTCATTGACGACGCTAGCCACGAGGACTACGCGCGCCCTACAGCAGATACGGAAAGCGCTATATGTATGTATCAGCATATGCTCGGCAAGGAGAGGAGAGGGAGGGGACTCCGAGCAAGCCGTAACCGTTGGGCTGAACAGGCGGACGAGTTCACCAGAATTTGCTCCTCGTGCATCCCTGGACCGTTTTCGATGAACTGGGGAACGTCGTTGACGATGCCTTGGAGGCATATTAATTATATTGTCATGATCAATACTTTCATAAAAAATTCCGTATCCCTCCACTGTTTGCTATGACTGTACATATACACTCGAATCTTTATTTTCTTTCCACTCTTGACTTTGACTGCCTCTTCATCCTTTCACAACGCTCGAGTCAGGTCTAAGCTCGCCCGGCCCTTAACATCACTTTAACATCCCGATGTAGCAGTCGTCCACTTATTCCGAACCACCATCTGCTCTTAGTACTTACTCGCCGTAATAATGTCCGATCTACTACGGTCCACCATGTCTGCTCGTCTCGCGAAATTACCTATGGATCTTCCGCCCCTGAGCGCGGAAGAAGAGGCAGAACTGGAAGAATCAGAATCTGGCGATGCACTGGGATCGTTGCCGGGCTATCGCGGTCTCGGGCCACCCGCAATGTGCGCATGCTCGCGCTGTCTCTAGTCGCATTGAATTTCTCTCATATCGAGGAAGACCTCGCCAAGCTGGTGGAAGCAAGACTCGTACAGCGAAGAAGCCGCCGAATCCCGACTTTGCGCCGATTTCGGGGGCGGATTACTTCTCAGAGGCGTTGCAGGTAGCGGTTCCTGGGCGGCAGCTTGATTGTAGGGTGTATTACACGCCGCCCAAGGACGCGAATGGGACAGTGCTTGTTTGTCATCATGGTGCGGGATACGCTGGGTTGAGTTTCGCGTCGTTGGCTCAGGAGCTGGTTGGGATGAGTCGTGGTGAGGTTGGTGTAATGAGTATCGATGCTCGGCGGCATGGTGAGTTTGCGAATCGCTCTTGGAAATCGAGTCCAAATGATCATCCGAATCTCAGGCAAGACAAAATCGACCCAAGACAAGGAAGATGAGAATCTCGAGATCGGCGTTCTCGTAGAGGATTTCCTGCATATCTTATGCGCAGTGTGGGCACAAGCTGCGACCGCACCAACGTTACTTGTACGTCTGCTGGCATTGACTGGAAACCGTATCTAATTGCTTATCGCAGCTCGTAGGGCACAGTATGGGTGGCTCCGTCGTCACTCGTGCCGTTCCGCGTATCCAGGAGGCTGGATATCGTGTCAGCGGCATTGCGGTCCTGGATGTAGTTGAAGGTGGGTTGTATCCCGTCGTTTATCGTTCTCTACTGACCATCATTTTATTCGTTCCAGGCACTGCTATAGACGCACTTCCACACATGCATTCTCTCCTCAACGCGCGGCCTGACGGATTCGACAGCGTCGAGGAAGCGGTGGAGTGGCAGTATGTATCATATCTTCTTCTTTTCATTCTCTTGGGCAGGCTAACTCACCCTCTCCAGCTTCAAGACAAAAACAATCCGCAACTCACACTCTGCTCGTGTATCAGTGCCGGGGATCTTCGTCCCTGCCCCATCCTCGGCATCCACCGCTGCTCCTCATGCGTATCTCTGGCGTACACCGCTACGGTCCACAGCGCCTTATTGGCAGGGTCAGTTTCTCACTTTGTTACCAGAGATCACCCGCTCAAAACCGTCGCTTCGACAGGGTGGTTCTCCGGTCTATCCGCTGCCTTCCTTCAAGCGCGGACGGCGCGCTTGTTGGTCCTTGCAGGGACAGATAGGCTTGATAAGGAACTCATGATTGGGCAGATGCAAGGTGCGCTGTCCTCCTCTTTTCCTGTGAGCGTCTGGTGGCGGCGCGGAGTTATCCCGTCTTGCTTGAATAGCAGTAATCATGCTGGCTACGATCTATGCTGCCTTTGGGGGCGTCGCGGACGTCTGACTACTCTATGGTCCCATAGTGTGGCGGGTGTCGAACACGCCTTCATAGCTTATGATAGAGTCACGCCCCTTGACTCTTCTCTTTCCGGTCCTCGCGTTCTCCCTGTAAGATCTTCTGATCGATCCCATAGGCAAGTTCCAGTTGGCGGTCGTCTCTGGCGTAGGACATGTTTTGCACGAGGTAAGTGTCCACTTTCGCTGGCTTCCTTCTTCTATTCCCTGTCTCCGTTGCGGCGGGCTGTGTTTGTTCGGGACGCGAGTAGCGAAGAACTAACGTGCTTGCGTGTCTGTTGTGACTACGTATCGAATGGCCAGGCAACTCGTCGAGTGCGCTTATCTGGCGCCCGTGTGTCTATACAAACGACTATGGCTGCGACTGACAATCGCCCCATCCCAAGAGTTCTACCCGCCGCCCGTGCCCTCCCTTCCTATCCTCTGTATGATTTGAATCTCTCTGCTGACGGTCGCCGTATAGGACGACCCTATGCAAGTTGCGGAGATATTGCTCGAGTTCTGGAGGCGGAATGACCGACTCAGGATGCCGGTCAAGGTCAAAACTGTAGGGGAAGCGTAGGAATTTTTGTTCGTGCTGTTTTCGCTGTGGAATTACAATGTCGTTTCGATACAGCATCGGCTTCGGCGTTGTTTGGCTTTGTATGGCGTGAAGACAAATGTGAATGCTCCCCCTCTTCAATGTTGCTCAAAGTCCGATCTTGTTCACCTCGACGGCGCGTACGACGACCAGCTACTACCTCAGCTTGCTTCATCGGATTCCAATGCTCGTCGAGCTCTCATCTCGCAATAGGTATTAAGAGTCCGTCATTATAAGTCGTCAAAAATAATACAAAAACTTTTAGGTATACAATATCGCGATACGAGAGGCGGCCTGGGTCCATCGACAGTAGTAATACAGATGACCGCCTGCATAATGGGTCTTCTACGGTCACCGATTGCAGACAAGGTATGTCGGTCAAGAACTAGTCGCTGTTAGTTCCTAATCAATCAACTTATAGGCAGAGGCAGAGTCGGGGCCAGAACAAGACTCACAGCAAGCTGAGCGTAACATCCCCATGCACGCTAGGAGGTTTTTTCCCGGACCAATTAGACGGTTATTGACACGGAAAAACAGAAAATGGGTCGTACCGGGCCTTAATCTTTTGTGTTTTTTTCGGAATTAGACGAAGTTTGACACGAAAGAACAGGAAATGGCGTACCTGCACGTCGACGTCGAGGTTGAGGTCAAGCCGCAGCTTGAGGGTATCCTTCCCACCCTGACCACCTCCGCCGGCGACCTGCCCAAGGGTATTGCCCAACAGCTGCCCCGCTTGAGGCGCCTGCTGCATCAGAGGGTTCTGCTGCTGCTGCTGCATCTGCTGCTGGGGTTGATATTGTTCCATCTGCTGCTGTTGCTGTTGCTGGGGCTCGTCGTATTGTTGTCTCTGGCGACCGCGATCGCGGCGGCGGGAGGGCTGACGTTCGGGTTCGGGAGAGGGGGAGCGGCTCAGAGAGCGGCTGGAAGAGCGAGAATCGGAACGAGGGAGAGCGTCTTCAGAGGACATTGTGTTTCGAGATGAAGATTTGGAAGAAAGTCGTGAGATTAGAGGGGCGTTGCAGGTCAGTGTAAGAGATTTGTGGGGCTTGTCGTCGCGATCTCACTGCTATTTAAGAACGCGCCGTGGTTGTGGCACCAACGCTATGATGTAGAAAACGACATAACCTCGTCATCCTGGTGATTGTCTTTTGTTCTCCATTTGTTGAAGTGCTGGATGCTGTTGGAGCGTAGGCTCTCTCCACTGTGCGCAGTGTAGTTAAGCACGAGGCGCGGTCCGTCCAAATCCGTCATCCCTCGTCATATATTTCTGCAAGAGACGGCTATCATATGCGAACTCTCACTTTGTTCGACGGCGGAACGCTCTTTGTCCAATAAAGTGCGCCGACAAGGACGCGATTTTGCTCGGAATTAATGGCCTCGATCGATGTACATCGCGAAACGTTTTTCGAATTTTCTAGCAAGCATTATGCTTTGTGAGGTCTCTACCTCCATTGGTCGAATTTCGGTGTTGTGGCGATTGGTTATGAACTTGATGGGGCAGGAAACGATGGTTTTTTGTCCGAAATCAGGTATGAAAATTCGGCGAAATTCTCAAATTTTGCTCCTCAGCGATTATATTGTTCAGAGGCCTTCCCCCCGCGAACCCGCATTCGGACGAGCAATGAGCGGACGAAGAAATATTGAACAAAGTTGAAATTCCCACGCGTGATGTCATTTCGCTCCAATATTGAACTACGTAATCTCCTCCGAGATTTGACTTTCGCCGTCATGACATACCATGCTTCCTTATATTTTGCTTTCTACCACCATCTCGAGCCCAACATAACCGACAACGACCATGGAAGTACTTGGAATACTTGGTGTCTCTGCGGGCTCAGTCGCGATTCCTCTTGCTGCTGTCTCGACAGCGACGTCTGTCGCTAGTATATCCCAGGGCGTAAGCGCCCAACAGGCCGGAGCGCAAGGCCAAGACGGCGGCGGAGGCGGAGATCCGAAGGACGATCCTAGGCTGGCAAAGTTCAGCATCCGCGTCGACTGCTCGAATTCCCGTGCACTCGATGGAAAGATTATCGTGTTGCGGAACTCGAAGGTACGTTCCACTCTCTACTTTCCCCCCGACGTCCCATTCATTCGTCGTTGTTTTATTCAGCTGTACCTCGATGATTCGGACCCCGCGCACCGCAACTTCGACGACGGTCATCCTTTCTCGGGGTTTTATC